CTTGCCAGGTGAAGCTATGAAGTGAGGCTCACCTGGGATGGGAGAACGTTTAGTAGAAAAGCAAGACCAGATCCCCGGGGAGGAGAGGGTAGAGCAGAGCTGAGCTGAGCCCTCTCTACCCAGCGCTGCTTCCTCCTGATCAGACTCTGTGACAGCTGACACTGTCGCAGCAGCAAATTCACATGCAAGTGAAAGGACCATTAATGAAATGCTAAACAAAATGCACATCTTTCTATCTGCTCCTGAAGCAAAGAGCTGCAGGCTCTGGCAAATGGAGCACATTCCAGAAATACAGGCCCTGCCACTAGGCGGAATTTGTGGGCCTGACAGCAGGCTTTTCTTAGCTATTAAGTGCTTTGAGAGAGACACCAGAAAGGATTCAGCAGTTTCACAATCAGCACCTTGGATTGGACAGGAAGGAAGCAGGAAGCGGTTGTGGGAGATCTGAGTGCAGGTGCTAATGCTCTGACAGTAGCCCAGAGGCAAGCTTAGCGCATCGCGGGTAGTCAGCTCTATGGTTCCCACAGCAACTGCAACTCCCAAGAGGCCACATGAGTTAGTGGTTAGAAGCAGAGGAGGGGCCTTCTTCTAATCCTGACTGCCACCAGTTCGGGGACATTTGGTAAATCACCTCACTGCTCCATGCCCTCTATGCCCCACCTGCTTAACAGGTGCCTCAGAGTGCTAAAGTCAGCCACATTATGGGCAGAAGTTCAACACTACATAGCGTGATACAGCACACTGCCTGTACAAGGGAGCAGCTGTAGAAAGCACTGAATTTGCTGGCTTTGGGGGTTATAAAAGCAACACCAATGATTCCCAGCCAGGGTGCTGTTGTACCCTGGGGTGCCAGGAGCTCCTTTTAAGGGTGCCATGCAGTAACTGTACAATATTAGCACAGTTAGCACCTACATAGGATTCACAAGATCAACTGAGAGATTTCAAATAGAAATCCAAAGTGTCAAAAACATTCTGCCCCACTGTGGTCTGCCTGTGTTCCTTGCAACCAAAGAATTGCACTAGTATTTTTCTGTAGTCAAAAATAGCAAGTGAAAGGAAAAAGCTGGCATTTTATAAGAGACCCTTTGAGTCTAATGAAGGGGGCCTGGAATCTAAAAAGGGTTGAGAACCACTAAGCTACACACTGCAGTGTTCTTTTAGCTTGTTTTGCCTGGACAAAATTACTTATCAATTGAGGAATTAGTGTAAAGTAGCAATCAGATGGAAGACAGACATACAGGAGTTGTGTAGCCAGGAGAAGGGTTTACTTAACACCCCAGGCCCTGGAAGCAGCACTCAAGGTTGCAAGAAAAGCTCTCTCTTCAGTGGCACCTAAACCCCAATCTGGAACTCTGCTCTATACTCCTTTCTGGGACATGGAACAATCCCAGGGGAACATCATAAATGGGAAAACACACAGGAGTTAATTTAATTCCTCTCTAAACCAGCTTGGCTGAAACACACGTGCGCAGTTGCTTTTGCTCTTGACCTCGTCCTATTAGCATTTAATTGTTATGAGTATAGACAACTGTTAATAGCTCAGCTTAATTACAACCCGGTTCCTGCAAGTGTACTCTGTGCACAAGATTTAACCACGGGGAAAGTTGGACAAGTCTGTTATTCCATTACTAAAAATCACCCGAGACCGAACCAGTTCCGACGCAGTGCGCTGAGCATCTAGGAGGAGCTATTTAAAAATTCATTTAGCCCCAAACTAATTACAAGATTTACTCAAATTCTCAGGGCACAATTTCCATATGCAAAGAGCGAGTGCCATGACTCGGGGAGAATGAGCTGCTCTTTTGCAGAACCCAGGGGATATCTTCTTGATTTCAGGGCCTCACTCACCCTGAACCCTGGAATGGGGACTAGTCCCCCTGTAATGGAGTGGGGTTGTACTAGTTATTGTACCCGTTTGGGGACCACAGCCTGGCCCTATTTTTAGCTTCCCAGATTAACTCGTTTTCCTGAGACTCCCCTCCCCCAGCACATTATTGGGGTGGAGAGAACACAGAAGAAAGCTGGTGACATTTAAATCCAAGAGATGGATTTTAGAGGATTTTCCACACTCCTGCTCTGGTTTCAGAGCAACTGGGCCTGCCATTGGATTTTGCTGGCGGTCATATCACTTCACGCTCACTCTCTATTGACCGTGGCTGTGCGGGAGCCAACAATCTGATCAGGGTTTAAATAAGAAATAAAAGAGGAGGAGATTCTGTTCCACGCGGCCTCTCGCCCTGCCCTAATCACTGGGGGGGATCTCGGCGCTGTCCAAGACAGGGAGACACTTCTGTACTGATTCTTCCTGATGAACACCTGAGTGCAGTTTTCTTTCAGTGCTTTGTGAAATTGGCTTTTTGGTAGCTTCTGATACATGCAAGGGGAATTGAATGGAATATCCCCAGCATGCAAAGGCCCCATGGGCTTTTTAACTTGTCCTGACTATAGCAGCAGCTTTCTTGAGCAAACCTGGAACGTTATGCTCTAAGTAGAGAGTGCTTCAGCAGGCACAGAGCAGGATATAGCCAAGCTGCTGGGAAGGCAGGAGATGCAACTTTCTGCAGAAAGACCCATGCCTGATCACTGAGTCAGCCTGACCTGGGCCATGACAAACTGGCAGCACAGAAGCAGCACAAAGCAAATGGGAGAGTGGAAGCTTTGTCATTTCTTCTGGATGCTGCTGTCCTCTGCAGTTGTTTCCCATGAATAAAAGGGCAGAGGGTGTGTGATGTTCTCAGGGGTGCTGTACTCCATGGCAAAGAGCCCAACAGGCATACAGAGTAAAACCAAGTCCTGAGACAGAGGCACTGGGCCTGGGCCACATGCTGAAGGGTGGTTTGTAAGGACAAAGGCTATGTTGGCAGCCAATCCACTCCTCTGACCAAGACACGTGGGCTGTTATCCTTCCTATGCCTGCTTGCCCTAACAAGGGTGGCTTGTACGTGGGAATGGGATCCTGAATCTGAGCAGTGTCCAGCCCGTTTCCCTGAAGTCTCTCCTTGTCAAGGATGATCAGCCATAGAAAGGCTTCTGCTGCACCACTCTGCTGACTGCCGCACATTCCATTCTTTATACTTATTAATTCCAGGCCACAGGTACAAAGGGGCAGGGGTACCAAGTTCCCAAAAAGAACACCATCGACTTATGGTGAAGTTGAAGCCAGCACCTTGACAGGTCAGGCATGTGGCTAAGCCGCCATGTCAGCCAGAAACACCAACATTTCTAAGTCCCCCAAACTGCTTAAGAGCATGCATTTGATGTCTTTCTTGGCACTGTTTGTGATAAGCTGGTGGCTGGGATCTGAGCAGCAATAAGGCACAGGCACCAGACAGGCATCTGCAGCTTGATTTAACTTGCCATGTCAGTGTTTTGTACAACTCATCGATATTCATTATCACTGTCATCATCAAGCATCCTCCAAATACAGAAAGGAACCATGGAGCAGGTCTTTGGAGAAGCTGGGGCAGGGGGAGATTCTCACTCTGCTTTATTCTCTGCATTTCAAGGCTCTTCTTGGGCCACAGCAGTTTCCTGGGAATGCAACACCATTTTGTGTGCTGGGGTTGGTGGAAAGAGGGATGGCCTGTGTGCTGTTTGTGGCTGCCTCTGTTCCAGAACTGATGTGTGCATGTAAACAAAGCAAGTTACACATAGGACAGATCCAGGCCCAGTTGCACTGATTTCTCCCTTGCTAGAAGGCTGGCTGGCAAGGCCCCAAAATTCTGCAGAGGGCAGAATGGGGTGTCCAAAGAAGGGGTCGTGGTACACTCAGCTTCTGTACTGAGGGGCACAGGAAAGTGGCTGGGGCAAGCTATCCACAGCTTGCATCTACTCCAGGCGATAAAGAGAAAGAAAGGTGGCTTTGGTGTTTGAGGCCCTGGACTGAGGCTAGGGAGATCTGGGTTCAACTCCTGGCTCTGCATGGACTCCCAGAAAGCCCACAGACATGTCATTCAGAGTTACTGCACCTCAGTTCCCCCAAGTGCAATCATTGCCAGGCATATCAGGAGGATAAATGGGCAAGGAAGAGAAGGATAGCGCTGCCTTTCAGACAGGGGGTACTGGAAAGGAAAGGCAAGGCACATGCCTGGATATGAGGAGCAGCCCAAGAGAAGCTGTCGTTCCCGCCCCGAGCCAGGATTAAAGTTACCACGCACAGCCCTGCTAATGCTCTAGCCCTTCCCTACATTCAGCTCCAGTCCCACATTCCCTGGTCACCAACCCATAGTACTGAAGAATCGAGTTTGTTTTCCAAATGGGGTGTGACTGAGCTCCTGTGACTGAGGCCCATGAAGCAGGGCCAGTCTACAGCACATGGGGTGCTGTATGGTGTTAGTTATAGGCCCGTCCCCCAGGGCTGGGTTGTCTCTAGGGAGGACAGGCAGCAGAGAGGTGACTATGCAGCTCCCTGGCCAGGGACCACGTCTTCTTTGTGTGGCAGAGAACTCTGCTGGTGTGTTACCAATGGAAGAGATACTGGAGGTGCTGGACAAGTTCCAACAACTGCATCGTTGCCCTCCCCTTCTCCTCAGCCAGGCTCTGCCCAGTGAGAAACAAACAGGGCCATGTCACCCTCCAGGGCTGCAGGCACCAGTCAGTGACAGATGTAGCACTCCCAGGCAGAAGCCTGGTCTTTTTAACAGCAAAAACAAGCCAAAACAAAACAGAAAAACCCCTTCCCCTTCAGCCACAGCTGGCAGCCCACAGGAGCTGTCCTAAAGGTGGCCGCGCTAAAGCGAAAGCTGGCTCTTATCTCCTGTTCTGCCATCACAGCTCTGCTTGCTTGCGACAGCCAGTGTCAGGTTTCACTGGCACAGTACAGGCTGCGTGGAAGGTGAGATGGAGGAACAAGGCACCGCTGGAGACTAACAAGGGGCCCAATCCTGGTGCCCTCGCTTGTGCCGAGCAGACTCCTCTGCCCAGTGGACAGGAGGGAGAACCTAGCCCTAGACTAAGAGGGCAGACCCTGTGGCTCTCAGGTGAGCTCAGGAGAATCTTACCGTCTCTGTAGGACTGCAGGGACTCGTCTCCCCAGGAAGGCGGGAATGGAGACAGCGGTGACCGGGGAATGCTGCACTCGGACATGGGCGTCATGCTCTTGCGGGGTCCAAATCCGTGTGCCTCCCTCTCGCAGCTTGGGGATGATGGCTCCACTCCTGCTGCAGCCTGCAGCATGGGGTGCTCGGAGGAATTGGCCAGCAGCTCCTTCAGGATGTTGATAGGCGAGATGGTGAGCTCCCAGTTGGTGATGCCAAAGTCCCGTAGGTGGGCTCGGGCATGGCTGGAGAGCCCTGCCCGCGTGTCGAAGCCAGCCCCGCAGAACTCACAGCGCATGAGGCTGAAAGTGCTTGGGTCAAAGTTGGCCACTGTGAAAAGGAGGACAAACATTCTGTCACAGACGCGCAGGGGTGCTGACAACAGCTAGAAGACACATGCAGGCACAGGCAGCCTCCAAGAGGGCTGTACCACACATGGCAGCAAACCCCACAGCTGGTCAGGCTGGGGCATGGCTTGCATGCAGTTATACATTGGCCTACAGTGGCATGACAATGGGTTCCAAAATTCAGGCCAGATCCTGGAGCATACGTACCCATCCTCCGGAGGGAGGAAGAAGAGCACCCCACCATTATCAAAAGAAAAAACAAAGCCTCACAAAATGAATACATACTACCTTTTTTCTTCTTCTTTTGGAAGGAAAACTTTTGCTCAATAGCTTTCACTTCTTCTGCAGAGATGAAGTGGCGGACATTGTAGCTCACCCCCACCCTGTTGAGATGGCCCCTCACGTGGTTGGCAAGGCCAATGCCATTGTGAAACCTATCAGGGCAGTACGGGCATTTCCGCTCCTCATTCTTCAGCATGGATGAGTCAGCATCCAGGAGGTCATCCAGCTCCAAGGAGCCTTCCAGCGGGGAGTCCAGCAGCAGCACATCCAAGGGCATGGCCTCATCCATCATGAACTCCCGGGAAGGTGCAGCCGCCACTGCAACTCTCTTCTTGAACAGCTTGCCTCTGGGCCGCTTCATGGTCCGTGGATGCAGGCTCATCTCCTCAAGAAGCACGATGGGAACCATCCTCTGCAACTGGTGCTGCTGCTCCTCCGAGGCAATCATGGGATCGGTGGCTTTCAAGGTGTCTCGGAAAGTCCTCTTGAGGTCCAAGGCTGCCTGAGGAACAGTGAAGGTCTTGAAGCTTCTGCCTTCAGTTACATCCAGCTCGGCTGGTACTGAAACATCCTCCTCCATGCTCTCGGCACTGTTGGCCAATGCCCACTTATGCCGGAGCTCCTCCAGGCTCACTGGGGGGCTCCGGCCACGGTCCCCTTCTCCCTCAAGGTGGGATGCTGTGCTTTTTTTTTTCATTTGCTGCAGGGCAAACTGTGAGTAGGCTTTTGCTGAGGTAAGGGTGGATACCCCCAAGCCCTTGTGTGAGGTGGTATATGGAGCAGCTTTCCTGGCATGAAAGCCTGATGTTGGGAAGTCCTTTTTATTTGCACCATTGCTTTTATCGAGTCTCTGGAGGCCTGAGGCAAAGCCATGGGCAGGGTCATAGTGAGAAATACTCTCACGATGGGGCTGGGAAAAAAGCCTCTCTGTTTTGCCAAAGTAATCAGTCTCCAAGAACCGGCCTGGCCTGCCTGGGCTGTAGGCATCCCTGCTTGTGCCAGGCTGGTTGGAGTCTTCCTCAAATGCCTCCGTGTCCCAGGGAAGATGGGAATGGGCATATTTCATGTGCTCTTTGAGGATATTTTCATTGGGGGCGGGGAAACTGCAAAGCATGCAGGTGCTGAGGCCTTTGCTGCTGCTGTGGGGCTGCAGTTGCACCTGGAGAGGGGCAGGCTCACTGGGTTTGAAGTGTTTGTAGAGGCCTTGCATGGAGCTGTCCCGCATTTCCCCACTGCTGGTGCTTCCAAACAGACTCATGCTCTTCACACCTTGGTCTTTCCTCTCCTTGACATGCATCTTGGCGTGCTGGACAAAGATTTTGGAGGAATTAGTGCCGAAGATGCACTTGGGGCACTGGAGCCGGGCATCTCGGCCTTCATCAGGGAACTCGTTGAGTTTCTGGATTTCCTCAATGATCTTTTCCCGGGACTCCTGGTGGAGCCTCTTGTGCTGCTCAAGTGAGGCGAGGTCCCCAAATGCCCATCCGCATTCATTGCAGCACAGCTGGCACTGGCTGCCCAGTGCATCTCGGTCTTGGTCCCGCCCCAGTCCCCGGTTGTGCTGCAGCATGTGATCCATCAGGTGCTCTTTCTTCTTGAAGTAGATGCTGCATTCAATGCATGTGTACACAGTGGGGTCCTCCTCTGGGCCCAACTCATCCTTCCCCTGCTCCTCCAGAAGGACACTGCACACATATGGCCGCATCTCAATGTCATAAGAGCTGCAGGGCGTTGGCTCAAGGGACATCAGAGGGATCCGTTCCACAGAGTCCTCAGCATTCACTGTCCATGACTGCTTGCTCATGGCCAGGTCGGCACTGATCTGTAGGCTTGGCTTTTGCAATGTCCATTCTGGTGGGCTCAGAGGGCTCAGCTCGCTCAAGTCCGAGTCCATGGCCAGCCCCTTCCTGTGTGAGGATGTACTCTCCATTGCTTTTGATTTGCCTAAGATGGGGTTCAGGGCTTTCCTGAACACAGGTAGAGTCAGCGGAGGTGGCACCTCACGCATGGCCTGCCCCCGGATGGATACGTTGGCTACTACCTCGGTAGGTTTGCTCACGTCTTTATAGTGAGGGCTCAGGCTCTCACTGGGGCTGGAGAGCCAGTCAAACCTCTGGATGCCCTTCTTGGCTTTCTCTAAGTGCTCTTTGCTGAAGGCTTCGAGTTGCTTTGGTTCATTTTTCAGATACTTTTCCTCTCCACTTGCAGGCTGCATTTCATCACATGTTGGGAGAGCTTCTGCTGTTGTTTTGCTCACAGGCAAGTCCTCTGAGTCACTGTCCAGCTGAGTGGCATCCATTTGCGCAGTATTTACAAGTTTGGACTCCATCGCCACTGCAGGCTCCTTTGGGTGCAAGGGACTGATGTCCGGCAGGTCCTTGGAGCTCACCACACACTTCAAGCTGGAGAGTCTTTCTAAAGTGCTTTCTTCACGCGTGTCACTGCCTCGGGTCTCTAGTGCAGAGCACTCCCAGGCCACACTGCCTGATACAGTCATGCTGCGTGGCTCGGCCGGACCCCGGGAATCCGTTCGGTAAAACCCTTTCTTGAACTCAAGGCGCTCCTCGTTCTTGGGGCTGCAAAGGAGTTTGGATATTTGTTAGCTGGGGAACAGGCTGACACAGTGCACTTGGTCTACAAAAGACATGTTGTGTCATTTACGAACATTTCCAGGGCAGGGGGGAATCCCCTAGTCTGCATCCCACAGACTCATCCCACTCCCAACATGCTGCCCTGTGTGAACCAAGGCTGAGCAGTTCATTGCAGAGGACAGAAAGGACCAACCAGGCAACCCCATCACACTACCCTCATGCTGGTACATGCAGGGTGAAACTGCTTCAGGCTGGATTCACTGTCTCTACCCCTGCAGTCGCAGCAGCCTCCCCCACAGCAAGGCCAAAGCCTGCTCTCAGGCTGGCCTCCTTGCTCGAGAGTGACGCAACAGGCAGCTGAGCATTTCCATCATCACCTCACACACTCCTGCATTGCCCCCCTCTAAAGTCTCCTCTCCTGGCCCGTGGAACACAGTGCGTGTTGACAGCTTTATCGCCTGGACACGGCTGTTTGCCATTGCCTGACTATCTCTTTTATTGCTGGCCAAGCAGGAAGGAGCCACTGAGGCTTTCCAAGCTGTTCAAGCTGAACTATGTAGGCATATGCCCTATGCCTACATAGCTGAAGCTTGAACAGCTGAACTGTGAGGCACAGACCTTGCAGAACCCAACAAAAAGACTCTGGATCCAGAAGCAAGAGCTTCTCCGGTGGCCAGCTGAAAGGGAAGCCGTCCTAGCTGGCTGCTTTCTTTTATTTGGGCTGGGAAATTGGGATACACCGTGAACGTACTGTTTGTCCTTCACTTTCAGTAGTCTGCACAGAGAGCCCAAGCCAGGAGGAGCAGTGACCAGAGCCATAGGTGACTCCTGGCAGGGGACATTAGAGCCTGTATTGTTCACAGATGGTACCAGGAGTCTGCAGCTGGTGTTATGGAAGGGCTGGACTTGCCCCTGGGGCTGGAAACTTTTCACTGCCAATATGGTTCCTGCTACGAAGAGGCAGGAAAAGGCCACCTGATTTGGGGGATGAGGGTTGGAGGAGGAGCTGGGGAATCAGGCCTAGCAGCACTTCCAACCCTGGGGCCAAATGGAGGTAGCAAATCAAAACAAGAGAGTACCAGAGGGCACCGTACATTGGCCACACTAAGTTCTGCTCCCCTCTGCCAGGGACCTGAGGCCAGCTGGTTGGCCTTTCACCCTGCCTGCAAGGCTGAGGATAAGAAGGCTATCCTGTTTTGCAGAATACTTAGAGGAGTGCACATTGTGGTGGTGCTATTAGCTTGGCAGAGCAAAAGGCAGGCTGTTTGGCCCCAGGCCTGGATCAAGAAGGAGCACTACAGGCTGAAAGGGACAGTGACGACAGCTCCTTCACAAAAGAATGATGCCACAGACAGCCTTCTCCTTGCACAGCCAGGTGGAAATTGGCAGCTTCTGGCTCCTTCCAGCCCCAATAGTGAGAGGGAACCCAGGGACAGCCATGCGGACTCAAGGCCTCTGCCCAGCCATGCAGCAAGGCCAGGTTCCATTGCACGGGGGGCGAGGGGTCCTGCTTTAAGCCCCACAGCCCTCTGGGTCCTCAGCCTCTGTTGTGAGTGCAGTGAGGACTGAGGCCAAGACCCACCCATGCCATTCACATCAGCCACCAGCCACTGAGGGTCTTTGCTATCACTACAACCCCTGAATCCTATTCTTGGCCACTACAGCTGCCCCCACTCCTCCCATCCCAAAACTTGCCCCATGAAAGGTCATGGACTAGGATTTCTGCCTATGCTCGAGAGCCAGCAAACTCCAGTGCCTCCAGTTCCCAGGTGAACAGAGGCACTGAAACCCAGAGCAGTTGCTCCTTCAGGTCCATGTTATCCCACAGGTCGAGCTGCGCTGCAGGGAGAACAAAGCTCCGTTGTTGGGTGAGACAGCACGGCTGCCAGTCTCCCCCTGGATTCCCACACTGCAGTGGCCTTCTCCTTTTAAATACACTAAAAGCAGTGTTTGATGGACCCCGAATTGGAGAAAGGGGAAGGCGAAGCTCAACCTTGATCTCTGTCCTCCAATGCTCCTGGCTCCTACCCAGTTGAAACAATTACACCCTAGAAGATGGTCTTTTCCCAGCCTATGGTGCAAAGCCTACATAGGTTATTCAGAATGATCTGCTGCAAAAATTTCCCATCCCTGATCCCACTCTAAACCTGTCAGAGTGTGCTGGACATCTTGGGGGCTTGCTGAAGCAGGTAAGAGGGAGATGAAAGTCAAGACTGATCTGCCCAGTCCAGGAGGAGCACAGCTCCACACCAGCATGGGGCACAAAGATACCCCACTCTATCAGGCTGATACTAGACAATGTTTCTCTGCTCTGACCCACAGTTGCTCCTCAAAGGTCCCTCTGCTAACCCTAAAGTGCTTGTGCCAGTGCAAGCCTCCTGGGAGAGAATGGCTGTAGCAAACCCAGCCCCTGCCCCTGTCATTCCAAAAGCATGGGAACGCGAGTGGCATACACTTGGGCTCAGACAGCACTTCTAGGGGGACAGCCTGTGTGTGCAGGCAGCTGAAGGATGTGTAGGTAGATGCAAGGGAGGGACATAGGCTGGACACAGGCTGATGTGGGAGTAGGTTTGGAGGGACACGGGCTGCTCCAAGAGCTACATGAAAACACACCATGGTGTGAGGCATTTGATTCCCGGTCCCCATCTTTGCCTGTGCCCCAAATGACAGGGGACATAACCAGGTCTGGCTAGAGCCCCAGGTTGGATCTACAGTCAAGGCCTGACCTGCTAGACCAACAGGACAGAGTGAAATGTCCCAAATGCCTGTCAGTGAAGGATGTGGGAAAGCTCCTGTGAACAGCCCCAGCTGGTCCCAAGGCAGTGGGG